GCTCAGTCGGTTAAACATCCAACTCTTGATTTCAGCTCAGGTTATGATCCCAGGGTCATGGGATTAAGCTTCACATTGGGCTCTGTGCTGAGCATGGAGCCTGCTTAAGATTTTCTCTCTCCCTCTGCCCCTCTCCCCCACATGTATGTGCTCTCTCTTTAAAATAAAAAATTTTTAAAAATATATGTGATAGTCTTTGGAATTTATGCTTCACCTTGTTTTATTCTTCTTTACTTCTCTTCGGTAAATGAGATATTATGATAGCAGTGGAAGAGGTACTAGTGATTTTAATGCAGGAATAGCAGTGTATGACCTGAAAGATTAACTGAAGTTAAAGGGTATAAAAAAGCAGACAAAAGGTCAACCACTTGGCTTCTGTTCCTTTAGTCCTCTAAAACACTCCTTCCCTGTCTTGGACCATCAGCATCAGAATCACCAGGAACTTATTAGGATGCAGATTCTTTGATCCTCTCCTTCAGACCTATTGAAACAGGGACTCTAGGACTGGGATCCAGCCATTTGGTTTAACAAGTCCCCCAGTGATTCTCATACCTCTATAGCTTGAGAACTAAATCGCAGTCTAACGTAATATGGAATCAGTAGTTTGGATCAACATTATGCTTTTTTCCCCCATCTGTACTTTATCAGATTATAAAAGTCATTATCAAACTTTTCCATTGAATGCTCCCAACCATAAAAGAATAAAAGTGTACGCCTAGGATGGACTAGAGAGGGCACTGCCAGAAACATGGAACTCTCGTGTTTACTCTTGTAAATTTGTTTTAATTTTGCCCTCTATAACAAGTATATGTCTATTTTAGTATTAAATATATGTATGCTCTAGAAAAGTTGTTGGATAAAATTAATACCCACCACCAAAAATAACGCACCAGGTTGTCAGGTAGCTTTAAGTATTCTTGATATTGTAGTTTTGGAAGTTTAACCTCTGTCATTTTGTAAGAATTAGTAGCAATTTTTTAACAAAAGGCAATACAAAGTATAAATGAAAAATGTGACAACAACCTGCATATAAAAGTCACAGCTTTTTATATATTTATTCCTCATACTTTTCCTTGTTCTTCTGAAGAAAACTGTAAAAAAGCTAAGAGTTAATAATTGCTATGAGGTTATTAGAGAAAATTCAAACTGAATATGCTTATTGTTTAGTGTAACAAACATTAAGGCAGACTCTAGCACTCTGTTTTTATTTGGCTTAAAGAGTTTAGTTTTAATAAAATAGATTTGGGTCTGTCTGGCAGCTGAAAGTGACTTTTAATATTTGATAAATAGATATGTAAAAAGCAGGTTTTATAAAAAGAAATTTTTTATTTTATAGTTTTGTCACAGTAATGTACTTTGTGATGATGCTAAATGATATGTAATTCAAGTAGGTTTGGGAAAGTAAAAGCAAAAAAGAAAGGAAGACTGGATTTAGAAAGAAATAGAGATATTCTATCAAGCATTTGAGTGTTTTGCTACAAAGGAAAAAACTACTCTTAAGAAATCAACTTTATGTTAATAAATTTGGGTTGGTATTGAGATAGAACAATGCCTATTCCTTAAAGCTCTATATTGAATTTCTGCATTGAAGTCCACACATTATGCAAAAAGCAAAATGAATTTTATCTTGCATAGACACACATATATGCGTACAAATACTTAATGGTTTCTTTTTTTTTTAATTTTTTAAATGTTTATAATTTTCGAGAGAGAGAGAGAGAGAGAGAGAGCTTGCAACCAAGGGAGGAGCAGAGAGAGAGGGAGACGCAGAATCTGAAGTGGCTCCAGGCTCTGAGCTGTCAGCACAGACCCAGATGTGGGACTTGAACCCACAAATCCTGAGATCATGACCTGAGCTGAAGTCAGACACTTAAATGACTGAGCCACCCAGGCACCCCAATGGTTTCTGCCTTCTATTACATAATGGCTTCCACAGACTTTGGTTTTTCCACTCACTGTCATTCTGAATGTATCTTAGTTTCAGCTTTCCCC